GCGTGTCAACAAGTTTGATAACCCTTCTATTTAAACTTAAAAATTCCTACATCTATAGTTTGAATGATAAAAACACAAGACAAATATTATAATATTATCAAACAATTTAAAATATATTAGATACCAAAAGTATATAAGTAACACGTAAGTAGATATGTAAAAAAATTTAATTTATAAGAAATAAAAAATATTGAAACGTTAAAAAATATAACTTTTATACATGCATTTTTAATGAGAAATTAGTTGCTGCATTTTATTGGCTAATGAATCAATTCTCGGACTGTAACTGGTTGATTTTAGTTGAATACACGCTTCACTTAATTCTGTTCCAAGACGATTCCTTACAGTTGACTTAATAAAATTATTGAAGAAAAAAGCTGCTCACACGCGTAAGTAGATTCAAACATTGTCAAGTAATACAAAAAAGTAATAAAATTAATAGTTGATGAGCTGCAGTGTAGATATTCAATTCAATGCGTTTAGGTATAGGTTATAGGTATAATACTATAAGTCTATAAACTTAATATTTAATTTTTATAATCTCAATATATTTTAGTCTACTTCCTACGACCAGTGTTTTTTAAAGTAACTTTTTACACAGTTGAGTGTGTCACTAAAATGGTGTGTGCGTGTCACTCACGGGGGGGGGGGGGTCCAGGGGGGCCATGGCCCCCGGGCCTCAGATTTGTCCATTATAGACTATAACACCGCATAAATCACTTAAAAAAATCGATGATTATTTAGCGAGGAAAAAATCTTGTAAATTATAATTTGTTAATAAAATGATACTTTATTCTTGATTTATTGCTATGTATTTAATACCTATATATATTTATTATAACAGGTACCTATATATTAATATACCTACATTATTATTTTTTTTTTTGGTCAGGGGTCTCATTTAAAACTTTGGCCCCTGCAGGGCCTCAAAATGTCTTAATCCGGGCTTGGACTCACTCTGTGACACGCGTATCATGGGTTCGCCATCTCATCTGCACTATACTCTATTCCAGTGGCGTGTCCAGCGGGTAGGCCTGGTAGGCCCGGGCCTACCCTGATTTTTAACCTTTAAGTATAGGTACCCAAAATATGCATTTTAAAATTATACATATATAATAAGCACACGATATTTCAATCATATTTTTTGCTGTAAACAAAATAAATATTTGTCTATAAATAAAATTAATACTGAAAATTTATCGTCAATTCTCAAGCGCTTCTTGGAAATACCCCATATTTCTATATAGATATTACACGACCCGACGACCGTCTTATTCTGTGGCCGTAGTGTTGAACGTCAAAAACTGACATGGCTATTAGATAACAAATATTTTATTTACGGTTGACAACCGAGCCCGTGAGTGAGTTTCTTCGTTTTGTATTTTTTTGTGCGTATATTTTAAAACTATTATAAATTATATTTTTTGTATTTTGTTAAAATTTATTATTTATAATAAAATGATTAGCCAATTTTTGAAACGGGCAAATGTAAACTCCCCTAAAAAATTAAATAGTAAATTCCCCTAATAGTAAACTCCCCTAAAAACATTTTGCTACCGTATTACGCTTACGTAAACTCCCCTAAACAAAATTAGCCATTTAGAGTAACCCAGATTACACCACGTGGAGGCGGTTCTGTTATCCTCCAAAAATATTTATTTTTTCTTTATAGAAAAATTCATATTCATCGTCATTCTAGTTTTATTAAAATTATTAAGTGTTGATTGTAGATATTGTTGATGTTGATTATTTTTTGTTTGAGTAATAATGTGAAATTGTTTTTATATAATGATATTTAGTTATTTTTTGATCTTTATAATTTTGTATTAGTTGGTTTAATAATTGTTGTCGTATTTTTAACTTATTATTAATATCTATATATTATATATTATATTAATATCTCAGCAAATATTTAATCATAATTATGCCCTTGCGACGTTGAAATTTTAATAAATAAATAGGTAGGTACACGTAGTTACTGTGTTTAAACAGTAAAATGTTTTTAGAGGAATTTACGTAAGCGTAATACGGTAGCAAAATGTTTTTAGGGGAATTTACGTAAGCGTAATACAGTAGCAAAATAGTTTTAGGGGAATTTACAAAAAATTAGGGGAGTTTACATATGCCCGCATACGATTCTAATTCCAACAGTACGTCGCAACGATTACCTCGATTTTCGTTCTGGCAAAATATTCTTATTTTCCACAACGTGTAGGTACTATACGAGGGATCACATTTTTAAAATTGTATTTAGTTAATTAAATATATAAGTTGGAAATGTTATCGTATCGTATCGTATTATTTTGTGTGCAGTTTTGGGCTATATGCATTTTGTGCGGTTTTGGGTCATGCTTGTGGGGTAAGGGAAAGCTCCGATAGTGCGGTATTGGAGAAACATGGCCTTACGATGGTTTTACGAGTGTTTTCTGTCCTTATAATTTAAAAACGTGCCCGTAATATTGCGAACGTTTAACTTTTTTATAACACGATTGCAAACGAATGACGTTTGTCAGAGAATTTGGTTTTTTAGCTGTAAAACGAACGATTGCGAACGTTTTTATAGACCAAGTTTCCAAGTTTACAAAATATTTTATTTTAAATAAAAATTATTGATATTAATTACACAATGAAAACAACAACTACGTTACAAACTAAAATAAAATAAAATATAATTTAATTATAAATATTAATAATACTGTTACAAAATCTACGTGTTAATGTTACGTAAAAGCTGAAAAATAAATAAAATAATACATACAAAATAATGGTTTTTAAAAATTGTTTTCTACATTTTTGCTTTTTTTAAATTTTTTCCCTGCAGGTAAGATTTTCCAGTTTTTCTTAAATATAAAATTGGATCCTTGTGTATTTTATAATCATTATAATCTTTTAATGTTAATTCACTGTAGGCATATATACCTATTCTCGCGGAAACATCTTGAAGAGTTTCGCATTCTTTAGTCTGGTAATTTTTCGATATTGTGTAGCTTATGACGATTTTTTTACGACGGCTAAAATTCTCGAAACATATTCTTGCATTGCGTGCACTTGCAGGGTACCTACTATATATGCCATTATAATATGGTACATATAGGCTGCAGTGGAGTAGCCAGGATTATGAAATGGGGGGTGTCAAAGTATAGATTAAAACCAAGTTTGTACAGTTTTCGTATATAAATAAATTTAGGGTTCGGGACTTGACTTGTTGCACTAAAAATTATCGAAATATGCAGTCAAAATATGCTTAAGTAGGTATATGCAGCTACATTTTTGAAAAATGCATAAAACATATTAAAACATATTACAATTTTGGTAATAAAAACTAAAAAATAAGTATAGGTATATAAACATGATAAAAATAATTTATATACACAAGTTTACTAATTTGAATATAGGTAGGTACCTATATTGATTAATATGATGGACAGAGGACACTATATTGTATGTTTTGGACATTTTTAAACTATTGTGAAATAAAACAACTTAGTTTTTAAAAATACTGTCATAAAATAGGTGCTAGCAGGTTAATAAATAAGTAATAACGAGTGTAACGTGCTGGTACGCTTTTTGCCTATACTATTGTAGTACTAATAATAGACAATATAGTGGCTACCAGTACGTTAACGTTGCGGGTAGCAGACACTTTTTTATGATGTTGTAGTCGTGGTTGACGAATAAATAATACAAACAGTTGTTGTATATAATTGTGAATTTTATTATTACACTTCAATAATTTTACTAAGTCCAAATATTGTCATACAGAGTAGCGTGAAGGTGCTTGCACTAATGGGTGGTAGTACACGTCTGAATACAGGCCTATTCGGGCCCACTTATAGATGAAGTTCCCCGTGCCCCTCGCCTACAAATACGGTATCTTGGTTCTCACGGATGTGATTTGTGTGGTCATTATTCCAACCCACTCATTTACGATTGAATGTATTACTAGATTTTATTCTTTTATATTTGAATTTCGTCGTGTGTGTCCAGTATTCCTGTAAAATATGACAACCGCTTATTTTTGAACCCTAGAGAACTAATTGATATTTCTAGAAAAAAAAACTAAAAAAAAATGAAAAATGAAAATGTCCCTAAACAGTTCAAAATAAATAAAATTTATCTATTATATATATCTGTGCGTACGCATAAAAAAACGCCCCGAAATGAGTCGCACGATTGAACGGCCACAGGCTGCGCTGCTCACTCTTAGGGTCTCTACTTTGAGTTTTGACCTGCGTTGTATCTTTATATATTATTAGGACGTGAGGCGATTTCTTACGACAGTTATAATATATCTGAAGTTCTACTGGACCGATTTTCACGATTTCTATTTCTAACTCAAGTACTCCGTGTGCAGATGAGCCATCAGAAGAGAAAAGTCCAAAAATTAATTATTTAAATAACAGTCGTAAATAGAAGCCGAATGCCGAATCTATGGTATTAAAAAAAATTGACCCCTAATAGGTACCTATAATAAATTCCAAAATTAATCATATCACAATATTCATTATAGTTACTTATAACGCGTTATACATCAACAACAAACCCTGATTCTATCATAGATATAAAATAGTGTATTAGTGTAGGTACTTTAGAAGTTCACGAATAATAAACAATCACAACGAAATAACTAAAATAGTTATTCTAGGTTTTTTTTATGTATTTTCATCCCAATTTTAACTTAAAATGACTATAAAAATAAACGACAGAGATGTCTCAAGAGCGATTGGTTTGTAAAAAGTTATTTAAGATATAGCAATATAATATGAAAAACTAGTTAAAAATAAAACAACAATTATTTATTATTTTTTTTAGGTATTCTTTCATGTGTGCAAAAAGGATCATTTATTATACACCTTCATTTTATTAGCTATGTTTTAAATATAATCAATATTCTTAGCAAACAATTACAAAACGACAGTGGGACCCTTGGTCAAGCAGCCAGTTTAATAAATGCAGTCATAAAAACTTTTTAAGATAGTCGAAATCAGAGTAAAATATATATGACAATTTGGGAAACTATAGTAACATTTGCTCAACAACATAATATAGAATTAGAAGTCCCCAATAAAAGTAATAAATAGTTTAATTTTAGTAAGGTTATTAATTGATTATAATTTATAACATATTATATGTATACATATATCATATTTTCTTTATTAATAGTATCTAAACGGAAAAGAACAGAGCCTGAATTTCTGAAAAATTTTGTTGTAACTACAACAACTGCAGCTGAACACGAGGACTCTAATAATGAAACTAATTTAATTGATTACTGGAAAGTACATGCTTACTATCCAATAATAGACGAGGTTGTAAATAATCTGAAGACAAGATTTTCTGCGGAGAGTTTGAATTTGGCAATTTCTATTGATCACTTTTTCAATCTGGACTATGAAAAAAGTTCATTTTTTATTCAACAATATAAGGTATGTTAAATGTAAATAAATAAATCAACTTAAGTGAAAACTTATAAAACTAATGTAACCCATAACTGAAGCATGAAAGTACTAACTAACTGTCTTATTACTTAAAGTTGTATTAATAATGTGTTCTAATTAATATAGGATTTACTGAAAGTTGATTTGAATTCACTTCAAGCTGAAATTATGGTTGCCAAAAACTGTATTCAAAACTATAATAATAAACCTTAACCGGCACCTGAACAAAAAAATCAAATAAATTTATTAAAAAAAAATATAACTATTTCAACTTTTCCTAATGTATATAAACTTTTAAATTTAGCTCTGACCTTACCAATTTCTTCAGCATCATGTGAGAGGTCATTTTCGACAATGAGACGTATCAATACATATATACGGTCAACTATGACTCAAGACCGTTTTTCCTCACTGGCAATACTAAATATTGAAAGAGATATTTCAAATAATATTGATTCTAATGATATATTAAATATCTATTCAAAAACTAATAGACGCTTGGAATTATAGTTGAAATCAAATAAATGTCTTATTTTCATTTAGTTTAGTGTTTTTTTTTTCTTATTAAGTATTATTATTTTTGCAGCCCCCCCGATATATTTTATCACCCTACGCCCATGAGTGTAGGTACTTTAGAAGTTTACGAATAATAAACTATCACAACCAAATAACTAAAATAGTTATTCTAGGTTTTTTTTATGTAATTTCATCCCAATTTTAAATTAAAATGACTATAAAAATAAACTGTGCTTATGTAGATATTGTCCTTAATATCTGGTTATGCCGATCTATCGTACCTATATTACAATGACTATATGTACTCGTGATTTATGATTTATTGCCACGTAGTAACTTGCTTACTACATCACGAGTAACGCGTGATATGCGAACACCGTGCAGATAAACGAACACTTATCAACTGATTTTCATTTCTTCGTACAATCTAGAATCTAGATGTCAATATTATAGTTTCATCAAAATGTTGTAACAAAGAGACTTTTAAAATCTTAAGTACCATATGTGAAAATAAGGCCAACTGTAGGTAAGCTTCACCAACAACTTGAACAGCACTCCCAAACAATTACTAAATTTTTCTAAGCTTATTCAATTTTATAATAGTATGGTTTTAGGCTTCAGCCTCCCCAATTCTCAAAATTAGAGACTATTGTACCTAACCAAACATAATATTTTAGATTCTGAGTGGCACGATGAATGTATTGATTTTACAATGATGTGTGTTTTTATATTTTTTTTTATTTTTTTTTGTGTCTGTGTACACGATAAGTAGTCGAAATAATGCTTCGATTTTCGACTTCTGCAGTATCTTGTTCGATTGGAAAGTGAAAATCGTTGGTGCATTGGGGAGGTCAAAATTTAAAATTCCCAGTACTTTTTAAAAGCACCAAGAAAAACAAAAGAAAAATTAAGGAAAAACTGTGTATTATTGTCTGTTATTTTGTTGTGATTGTATAATATTATTCGTGGGTACTTGAAACTTCTAAAATACACTATTATATATCTATGATAGTATCAAGGTTTGTTATTGATGTATAACGCGTTATAAGTACCTATAATGGATATTGTGATATGATTAATTTGGAATTTATTATGGGTCAACTTTTTTTAATACCATAGATAAGTATTTAATATGTCTTATACCTAGACTGACAAGTCTGACATAACGTCTCCGCTCAGAATCGTTTTCTTATACAATGATATTATATCATCGAATTCAAATTTAATACCATCTATTATACATTGACCCATTTGTAACCTACTGTACAGCAGAGCACCTTTTTTAAGATATTTTTCAATGTTATCCAAATATGATTTTTCTTTATAATTGTATGAAAATTTAAGTTAAAAAAATGTAAATTATGCACAAATATGCTAAAAACCGCTTTCCAAAAATATGACAGAATATGCAACTTCAATGTTTGTATTAAATTTTGCCATTTCATAAGACAAATTTATAACATTTCTAAAATTATATCAGTCCCGAACCCTATAAACAATATATTTATTAGGGGGGAAATGTCAATTGGTGTGGGGGGTGTGGTTAAATATCCAAACACCCGCCCCTGGCTACGCCACTGATGATGTTCACTATAGCTTATTATGTCTATATTATATTATATTTATATACCTACTTTGGTACCTAATCCTATAGCCCCAAATAAGTTTATTTTTTAATAATTTTCTCTTAACTTGCGTAACTTTAAAAGGAATACATTGAAATGTGTTAAAACTTAAAACTATGTTCGTACTTAAGTATTAGACATTATATTTACCAGTATAAATATTAATCATAGTTAAAATTATACCTAAATACATTGAACATTTTTTCATTTCACACCATTTATTATACTGGTAAAACTGCCGTGCGTACAATTATTTTAAACAAAATAACAAAATATAAATATTGTTTGATATAATTATTTAGTATCATAAAGCTTAGGGACAGGGCAGGGCCGGCGAGAGGGTGGGGCAGTAGGGGTCAGAGCCCCGAGGCCCGGACCTCCGGGGGGGGGGGGGGGCGTTGTCAGAGGCGTATTTATTCATAGCCACACAGCAGCTCTATTCTGTAACTCGATAAGTGAGTTAACGAATTTATTAGATAGTGATCACTATCGACGTTTTCTGAAATGTATCGAACTTCGTTATCGACTATGTGATTCTGTAAATTACTCTATCGATAGTTTGCGCTTACAACTTGTGCTACCGCAAAGTCGATAAGAAACCAACCGATAGTATCAATTATCAAGGAGATTTTAAGTTTTGTCCAATCACAGTTGCTTTGTGTATCATTGTATCAAGTTATCTTAGAATATTTGCAAAAGTGAAAACAGAAAATTTAAAAAGTGAAAACACTGAAAACTATAAAATCACTATGAAAAGGGCGACTATTCAATCGTAAGTACTTTTATTATTATATATCTACTATCTGACTAGCTATTTGGGTTTTTGAAATACACAATTTTATTTAGGTATTTTTTATACGTTTATTTATTAACTTTTGATTATTATTTGAATACCCTTAGTGGATCTCAAAATGAGCAAGAGACAAATTTAAAGAAGGCAAGACAAGGGAGAAGGAATGACAGACAGCTGTCATTCATGGTAGATTATATGGTGCAAAACCCACACGTTGCTACGGGCAAATTTCATACTTTGAATGGGAAAAATAGTTTAGCTGGCTCATGGGAAGACTTGGTTACAAATTTAAATAACCTTCGTAATCCTGGTGTGAAGGAAAAAAATGTTAAGTCGTGGAAAGAGGCAAGTAGAAACATACATTTTATAACGTAGCAATAATAAAATACTACCTAAACTTAACTAGGTATAAAGGAGTTTTTTTTATCTTTATTTAATATTTTACACGTGAATTATGTTTAATTTTATTTTGTTTAATAAAGGCAATACTCGTATATTTACTTAAAATTCCGTATGCATATATGATGATTGATGATATTTATTATATCATTTAAAATGTAAAGTTTTCATTAAATTAAAAAAATAACAAGTTCAATCAAATGTATATATTGACATTATGATTAAAATTTCAAAATTTTCATTTTTCATACCTTATTTAGGACTCAAAAAACTAATATTATTTGATAGTTTTTTTGAAAACATAGGTATGTGATTGATTTTATTCGTAATTTTAAGATTTTCAGTCCATAATACATTAAAAATAAATGAAATATAAAATTTACCCAACAATTTTAAAATCGTATTAGATTCTCAAATAATCTTTTTGGAAGGTATTGAATTTTCTCTAAATCCCAACATTTACTTATTAAAACTGATTAAAGTTATTTATTTGTTATCTATTCAGAATGATTTATTTTTAAGTGTTCTATTATATTATTAAAAAATTAGCAATACCTACCAAAGTAAAAAAGAAGGAATTTGGTATTTTAATACAATTTTATAATGTACTATGAACCCTATACTATTGCTGCCCAAAAATAAATAACATCATTGAAAATTAATGTTATGGTCCACTTGTAGCAGTCTCTGTTTGGAGTTTCACTGATACCAATTTGTAATTATATTGTATTAAGTTCTTTAAATCCTAGTGGCATGCATAAAAATTGTTTTAAGAATGTGTAATTTAGAGATTATTTGGTAAATGTACCTAGTTAAATATAGAAAAAAGAAAAAAGATTTCACTAAGCAATAATGAAAATATCATTAACAAAACCTCCTATGTGCTAAAATTTTAACAAAATACTCAATTTTTCTCCAGTATAAAATTAATATGATAGTAATGTTGAATAAATTACTAAAACTACTTAAACTACTTTTTTGTTGCTGGTTTTTAAATGTGTAACATATTTTCAAACATTCCTAGTTTAAATTTGCATTATTAAAAATGTAAAACTATTCAACACAATTCATTAATTTTTATCTTTATATTTAATTTTAGTCTTGGAGAGATTTAAAAACCAAAGTTTCAAAAAAAGCATCTGCTTTAAGAAATGATAAGAAACGAACTGGCAATAAGCAAATTGAATTAGCTGAGTTATCTGAGATTGATAATAAGGTTTTAGGACTAGTAGGATACGATTATGTTGAGGGGACAGTATGTCCAGATTCGTTTCCAGAAGAACTGGTTAGTTTGTATTGAAATTTAGTATTTATTTATTGTTTTTATTTGTTATAGAATTAAAATTTATTGTTTTTTAGCCTGATGATGTTGAGCAATTGGCTGGTGGTAATTATGATATTTTGAATATAGTACCTACTCCACTCACCATTAGGCCAAACCAGGATCCAGATATCATTGGTTAGTAATTTTATTTAATATATAAGTATTATAAACTAAAATTAAGTATATAATTTGTGTAGCTCATTCTATTTTTCAATATAATATTTTGTTTCTAAAAAAATGGTACCTACAGTCGATTTGTTAATTAGTATATGTATTTTGTGTTTATATTTTCTACTTTTAGAAGCTGATGCAGAGGAAATCATTGACGATCCTTATTATACTGTTGAACTAATAAAAGATAGTACAAATGAAATAAGTTCACTTATAGAAACCAACAAGACAATGACACCACACATTCTAATAAATGTACCTGCTGAATCAAATACATCTTTTATTTCTGAGACATCCATTGATCATTCATCTGGCAAACAACCCATATTGCCAAACATATCTGCCAAACATTCTAAATTTTCAAACACACCAACCACTAATTTAAAAAAGACTAAAAGGGGTAATTAATTAAGAATTACAAATATAGAACGATTTATCTAGTTGCACTAATAAACATTTTTAATTCTAGATGTCAAACTTAATACACAGTTAAGCAATGCACGTGAGGTATTCACTGATTTAGCTAAAACTAACAATCAACAATTGGAGGTACTTTTCTAATATTATATTGAAATCTACTTAACTATATTATAGATAACTGAACTAAATATCAATGTATATTTTAGTTGTTAACTACTTCATTAAACATGTTTGCTGAAAGCAATAAGCAAATGGCTGCTGCACTTAACAAAATAGCTGAAAATGATGAAAAAAGACTGTTAATGGACGAGAAACTTGTTACCATATTATCAACTGTAATTTCTAAATTAAATTAATTTTTTTTGTTATTTCTAATATTTTTAGTTAAAAAAATGAAGATCATATCTATATTTTGTTTTGTTTTATTATTTCCTGGTACATACAATTTATATTTTTATTTGTTAAAAGTCTAGATAAAAAAAATATATATGTTGTTTTGTTTTAATATACCTTTATTAAGTTACATATACATAATTATACATTTAGTACACAATTTTAATTTTGTTAATTTTTTAAAAGATAAAAATAAAGGGTTGTTTTGCTGTATGTTATTTATTGTTTTCATAAATCACCATCAATATAATCAGGAAACCAATTCTGCATGATTTGCTTTTGAATCCGCATTGCTACAGCTCTAGGTCCACCTCTCTCCATCATTTCATTATCTTCTAAATGTCTTACACCATAATCATCATTAATCCAGTTGTCAATATTTTCCTCTTCTACTGGCACACGGTAATGAATTCTCATGTTATGAAGGACAGCACATGCATTTACAATTTTACCTGCCATTTCAGGTGAATACATTAATACACGTTGATATGACAAGCACCTCCATACACTTTTAAAAACTCCAAAAAATCTCTCCACAACATTTCTAGCTTTGCAGTGTTTAATTGTGTATTTGAACTGTCTCGTGCCTTCTCTGTAGTGAGGTAAAGGCGTCATGAGCCAAGGCTCTAATGGGTAGCCAGAATCACCTACATATTAAGTATACAAACAAATGTATAATCTAAATATTTTAAAAATATTCTAATTTTAAATTTGCAAATTTATTACCAATAAGCCAAGTGTGGCGTTCACCATTATTATAATGGTATTCCATGGCACGACGAATAGGAGAAGTGCTCCATATGTAGGAATCATTTCTGGCTCCTGGATATCTGGCATTTATATTCAATATTTTTAGTTTTGGACTTACTATCTGAAAAAGTAATTTGTTAAGAATAATATTAGGTTATAAAAACATATTGATAAAATACATACTGCTTGAACGTTCAATGAGTGATTACCATGATGGTTAACAAAAGCTTCTTCATGTACCTTAGGCGCCAGAATATTAATAAATGTACAATCTATAGCCCCAATGGCACCTTCAAATGGCTGTGGTGCATTACTAAATTGTTCGCGGGCATTATTTCTTTCTATAAGTGTCATAGGAAATTTGACCCATTTCCGTAACAGCGTATTGTTTATAGCATCAGTGACAGCATGCAAGCACCTACTCACTGATGGCTGGCTAACATTCAAATCAAAATGATCGCCAGTAGCACGTTGATAGCTTCCTTTAGCATAAAAGTACACTGCAACTAATACCTACAATTCAAGCATTTAAATATTGTCTTAATAAACACTTGATTGCTATTCTGTATTATAATATAAACGTATTACATTTATTAATTATGTAAGTTCAATAAGAATTGTAAGAAAAATATGATATTTCTTTTTCTTTTTTGAAATTAGGTATTCTAAAAATATAGAGTATAGAATTCAATAATTTTAGTAAAACAATTACTTGAATTTCCACTGGGATTCCAGAATTGCGATCCCGTTTAAGAAACGGCCGAAGATTATTTGTTAAGTCCATAGATAATTCGGGACTTAGGCGAAATATGTCCATAAACTCACTTCTCGGTAGTTCGTAAGGATTTTGTGTATCGCGTAATGTTCTTCTTTCTAACCGTCTCTCAATAAGCCTTACTCTTTCTTCTAAAACTTCCAATTCCCATCCCAAAAAGTATATAGCCATAATAGTTTTGTTTAACTAACTGATTTAACAAAATACAAATGTTAAGACTTAGAGAAAAATTCATTCAAAATCACAAAAACAAAGTTACAAATATTTATGAACACTCGATAAGGCTTATCGGCCACAATAAAAGGTCCGTTACCGTATCTGATATTTTCGATAGTATTTTATCGCTTAACAATTTTTTTCGTTATCAATATTTTACAGAATCGGTCTTCTCGACATTTGTCGATAACAAGTACTATCGATAGCGTATCGAATCGAAATTTATCGATAAGGCTACTTATCGAGTTACAGAATAGAGCTGCAGGCCCTGTAGACTCGGGCCATTATATCGTCCGTTTGCTAAAAATTAAACAACCATCTATAATATTATATACCTACTATATTGTACACAATACGCAACACAGAACGCACATAGATAACAAAACAAACTCGCATTCAACGCGGGTTCGATGGTTCGATCGGTATAATCGCGTAGTTGGTTTTTATATAGTGTGTGCTATTAATAATATGGTTAATATATATAAATATATAAATATATAATATAGTCGTAAATTCCTAAATACGACCAATAACGACCGACTGTATCAGACAGTGGCGTATATACAAATTATTTTCACTATGGGCCAATTTGGGCAATTTATCACTATCCAAGCATAGGCCGACTAACATAGCCATAATACTGTACATATTTCTGGAAACTGGGTGGTTATAATTATGATTTATGACATATACAATACAAATAAAAATTGCACAATTTAATTTTATAATTATGTAAAATTAATTTCTTAATTCTTTTTTAAAAAATATTGACAATTTCATTTATATATATATATATACCTATTAATGTTATCTAACTGTGAATTTAACATCAAAGTCATCAAAATTCAAAACAAGTCCTGACAATCATTTCTTTGTGAATTCCTCAAAACGATTCAAACGATTTTAATCAACCGACTAAATTAATCATGGTGAAAAACTGTAAACAGTGTAGATATACATGAAATGCTTTAAGAAATTGAACCTACAATTTCACTATGGGCTCTGGCCTAGGGGGCCTCCCCCCTATATACGCCACTGTATACCACTATCATCTATTGAGCTAATACATGGTTGCTAATTGCTATGATGTCCTTTAATAAGTTTTATGACCAGTAAACACGATACATTAGTTAAGCTACTTGGCTCGATCCAACTTCCCGTAATACCGATTTAAGATCTTAAAAATATTAAAAATGTTAGTAATTGTACTATTTAAAAAAAAATATGAATTTAGCTATTTAATTAACTAATAAAATATCAACTTACTACTTAAATATCGACCAACAATCAACAATTGTTCTATTGAGACCATTTCTTTTTTTAAATTGTCAACCAGTACTTCAGACTTTTCATTAATTTTTTTCATCAAAGTCAGCCGGCTTAAAAGGTTTTTGTTTGAAAAACCACAGGAAATAAGTAGTTTGAAATCTTAATTTTCTACAAAATAAAATAGAATAGTTGCATTCATAATAAATCGTATGATCATATTGTTCAAATAATCTGTAACACACTACTACGTTAGTACATTATACCTACACGTCACACACAGACTATTACAATATTGAAAAAACTTAATAAATTGTGATTTTAGAAGTAATGAGGACATGAGGGTAAGTCAGGGGTGATGCATACTTATCTTTACTATAAATTAATTATAATCAAAGTTTATTTCAAAATACTATACTGTTGACACGGTACGCAGCGGCAACCAGTACAAAGTACAGGTACCGCAGCGGCCGGTCTACGTTTTTGTCAACCGCCACCACGGGCTACAGCGCGACATCGCCAACTCTCCCACCGCGCCACAAAGGCACAAGGCGGGACGGGAAGGCAAGTCGCGCAATACGAGTACCGGCCGCCGGAAATTCGCTCTCTCGTTCGACAACCGTCCGACACACACCACGGTTCTTGCCAACAACACGACCGTCAACGTTTTTCGACGTTCATCGACACACACCGCGACCCTCGATACCGTCGATATTCATTTTATGTATATTTGTATTGCCACGCTTCTGGCACGGTAAATAGTGAGTGTGAAAAATAAATCAAACCATCGTCAAACTACATACGCATTACTTTTGTTATTCGCCACTCCTCACCATCACGTTGCGACCGGCTCACCGCGGACGCTACTTCAACACCGCCGTAGCCGCGTCAAATTGGCTCCCCGCAGAGGAATCTCCTCAAGTCAGCGACAAGGTAAGAGTTTTCACGCTGACACATACCTCGGATTAACTGCTTATATTTAATTAGTAATAAGTTATTCGACCAGGAGTGTGTTTGCCGGTTAGCTAGGACCCCATAGAGAACATTACGTAACAATTATTTTTAGTACGTAACAGGGAAATCCACGCAGCCGTGCATAACCGTGATACGGATTGGGAAGTAGTTATATAACAACCACCACCCCTCCGCAACGCCTACCTTTCGCACCGCGACATCATCGCCGATAAAAACAGAGCGCGCAGGCCAAAAACCGGTTCAGCCGCCGCAGCCGACAGCTGCCACCACCGAGGTCGTTGACCCAGTACCACTATTTTTGGTACGCAACGGCGGCACTGTCGTCAGCTGATCTGTTACACAATCAATAAATAATAAATATATAAATTGTCGTAGCTAGCGCGCGAAATTTATCGAAAAAACAAAAAGCCTCCTCGAAACCGTGCACACCGCGCAACAAGCACAATCCACTGACCATACAACAGCGTAACGACCACATCGGTAAACAACTTTACACAATGTCGGAAAAAACGTTACAACAGTTGTCGTCGGCGGAGCTACGTAGCGAGTGCACGGCCCGCGGCCTCAGCGCATCCGGGACGAAGCCGGATGTGTACGTCCGACTAGAGGAGCACCTTAGGGAAATCGGACTAGTCCCCGAGAATGTGAAGTTCGTAACAGTGCAGCCTGGAACCGTAGAATTCCAGGGCAGTACTGAACAACAACAACACATTACATTAGAGCTGGAAAACACGAACGCCAGCCAGATTTTCGGACAACCGTCTGGGGGAATTTTGACAAGCCCAACAGCAAGTCAAAAACCCACAGACAACCGGTCAGAAATCTGCGGCTTCCAGTCGACCATGCAGCAGGGCCAGTCCGCGCAACCCTCAAAAACCGACATTTTCGAAACCGCGGCGAAACAACTACAGTACAAAGTACAGGTACCGCAGCGGCCGGTCTACGTTTTTGTCAACCGCCACCACGGGCTACAGCGCGACATCGCCAACTCTCCCACCGCGCCACAAAGGCACAAGGCGGGACGGGAAGGCAAGTCGCGCAATACGAGTACCGGCCGCCGGAAATTCGCTCTCTCGTTCGACAACCGTCCGACACACACCACGGTTCTTGCCAACAACACGACCGTCAACGTTTTTCGACGTTCATCGACACACACCGCGACCCTCGATACCGTCGATATTCATTTTATGTATATTTGTATTGCCACGCTTCTGGCACGGTAAATAGTGAGTGTGAAAAATAAATCAAACCATCGTCAAACTACATACGCATTACTTTTGTTATTCGCCACTCCTCACCATCACGTTGCGACCGGCTCACCGCGGACGCTACTTCAACACCGCCGTAGCCGCGTCAAATTGGCTCCCCGCAGAGGAATCTCCTCAAGTCAGCGACAAGGTAAGAGTTTTCACGCTGACACATACCTCGGATTAACTGCTTATATTTAATTAGTAATAAGTTATTCGACCAGGAGTGTGTTTGCCGGTTAGCTAGGACCCCATAGAGAACATTACGTAACAATTATTTTTAGTACGTAACAGGGAAATCCACGCAGCCGTGCATAACCGTGATACGGATTGGGAAGTAGTTATATAACAACCACCACCCCTCCGCAACGCCTACCTTTCGCACCGCGACATCATCGCCGATAAAAACAGAGCGCGCAGGCCAAAAACCGGTTCAGCCGCCGCAGCCGACAGCTGCCACCACCGAGGTCGTTGACCCAGTACCACTATTTTTGGTACGCAACGGCGGCACTGTCGTCAGCTGATCTGTTACACAATCAATAAATAATAAATATATAAATTGTCGTAGCTAGCGCGCGAAATTTATCGAAAAAACAAAAAGCCTCCTCGAAACCGTGCACACCGCGCAACAAGCACAATCCACTGACCATACAACAGCGTAACGACCACATCGGTAAACAACTTTACACAATGTCGGAAAAAACGTTACAACAGTTGTCGTCGGCGGAGCTACGTAGCGAGTGCACGGCCCGCGGCCTCAGCGCATCCGGGACGAAGCCGGATGTGTACGTCCGACTAGAGGAGCACCTTAGGGAAATCGGACTAGTCCCCGAGAATGTGAAGTTCGTAACAGTGCAGCCTGGAACCGTAGAATTCCAGGGCAGTACTGAACAACAACAACACATTACATTAGAGCTGGAAAACACGAACGCCAGCCAGATTTTCGGACAACCGTCTGGGGGAATTTTGACAAGCCCAACAGCAAGTCAAAAACCCACAGACAACCGGTCAGAAATCTGCGGCTTCCAGTCGACCATGCAGCAGGGCCAGTCCGCGCAACCCTCAAAAACCGACATTTTCGAAACCGCGGCGAAACAACTACATCAGTTAAAATTAATGTGTCCACAAACGAACGACTCAACATCGTTCGAGGCACGTTTAGGGGCGTTGGAAGCAAGCATGACGCGGTTCTTCACAGAATCGCGCCAGGCAACCACCCAACCGCCAAACAGTGTAGCAGCCCCACGGTTAGATAACCACCCGTCACCCGTACAGATACCAAATCGTACACACGATAGTCACCAGTCGGGTAGGTCATATGAGCTCAATGACGGCGGCGCTCAACACAGCGCCAGCCACATTGCCGACGCGAACAACCGACCGTTCTTCGCGCGCGAAACGAATAGCTGCGTTTAGACCAAGAGGATTAAGGACAGTTTTGGAACGCGACGTTCCATCATACGTGATATTAAAAGGATGGAACGGGACGTTCCATCATTTGGTATTTAAAAATTAACCAAATGACTATCACGCGTGATTGGACCGTACAAGTTTTTCCACGCGGTAGATTGTACATGCCAATCATTTGCTAATTTAAATGAACAAATTCCATCACGCGGGTTGGAGTGATCATTTGGAACGCGAGCTGACAAAACTGTGCGTGTAAACAGTATTTACAAACGATTGTACACGATCTATCATGTCCTCTAGTCATTTTAAAACTTTGACCACTCCGCCGTTCGAACAACTACAGTTAACACGTACCACAGCACCTGACACTACTAATATTTGCAAAAAACGTGTTTATCGTACTTACTTAAAATGTCCTCTTTAAGAAGAAAAAAACAACTACTAGGATATGCTGCTGTTTACTATATACATATGAATATGGTAAAAGCACGATCTCCAAGATCAATTTGGATGAAGAGTTGGCTGTCGGATAAGACAAAATTTGGTCACTTACCATTAATTAGTGAACTTAGAAATAATAATCCTGAAGATTTTAAAAATTATTTAAGAATTGATGGAACAACATTTGATTTCTTACTAGGTAAGTGTAATATAATATTATCTAATTTTTTTTTTTACATTTTAGTGTTGTTCAATAATTCAATAAAATGTATAATTATCTACCTAGATTTAATTGGACCATTAATACAAAAAGAGGATACCATCATGAGGGAAAGTATTCCTCCAGAACAAAGATTGTTAGCGACACTAACATTTTTAGCTACTGGTATGTCTTACCAAAGACTAAAATTTTCAACTGCCATATCAGCTAGCAGCTTATGCGAAATAATACCAGAGACTTGTGATGCAATTTTTAAAGTTTTGAAAAAGGATTACCTAACTGTAAGTATTGTATAAACAACAGCATTATACATTTTTTTTTTTAGTAATTGATAGTTATTGATAATCTTACACCAATACATTTATAATCTACTCATAGTTTGTACCAACCAAGAACTTTAAAGTTGATTTAGTATGAAATAAAAATAGCTATAAATATAGTGAAGATAAAGTATTTAAATGCCATAAAGAGCTATTGAACACAATATGATTGTTCATCATAAAAAAAATGTCTCATTTACTATTCAACATTTTGAGTCTTATACCACCTACTCATTATTACAATTTAAATTTTTAGGGTACCCACCTACCTACATAGGTATGACGAAAAACTTTTTTTAATTAATAAATCATGCCCTGCAATTATTATTTTTGAAATAAAATATTATTAAAAAGAAATGTAAAATAATAGTATTTATTTAACATAGTTATCATACATAACAAAAAAAAATATAAATCACTTGTTGAGTTAAAAAATAAAAAACAATTTATGTAAGTAATAGGTATACTGTATGTTATCCGCCATAAACCTATAAACTTGTAACAATTAAAACTAAATACATTCTTTGTAATTATAACTTTTTATATAAAATATTAATAAAAAAAGAAATGTAAAATAATAGTATTTATTTAACATAGTTATCATAAGTAACAAAAAAAAAATTTAAATCACTTGTTGAGTTAAAAAATAAAAAAACAATGTAGTAAGAAATAGGTATAGGTACTGTATGTTATCCGCCATAAACCTATAAACTTATAACAATTAAAACTAAATACATTTTTTGTAATTATAACTTTTTATATAAAATATTAAAAAAAAATTAAATGTTAAATACATAAGATAATAGTACCTATGTATAGACTAGAACATAGTTATCATGAGTAACAAAGAAACAACATTAACATATAATCATACTACTGATCAAATTATATGTTAGTATAAGAACAAGAGTTGGAAAAATCAAGAGCAGATTCATCGGAAACTTTTGCATCATCGTAATTCCACTGTGAATTCGGCATATCATTTACCATATTTTGATTAGTAACCTCAGTTTCAGTAAAATGCATAGGGTCCATAGGAGCAGCAGAATAAGTGTAGCTTAAAGGAGAGATGGGTTTGGAATGGCTGGATACAGATGTAGCAGGGTTAATGACAGGATAGGTAGAGTTTTCATTTGTAGAAGAAGTATTTGGAAAATAATAATGATTGTTTGAATGATCTGTAAATTCAATAACAATATTGTGATTAAATATAAGAATATAGCATTGTGACTAGTTTTATAAGAAATACTTTTAAAATCATATTTAAATATAGATACAAATACATTCACAAATGCATTCAAAAAGTATTTAAAATACTATTCAAATATTTAAATACAATTACTCAAATAGTTTACAACACTGATTAAATTAATGAAACAAAAAAACTCATACCTATATTATTTTGTAGTCCAATGTCTGGTGTCAAAGTATTTAACAGTCCTTTAGACAGTACTGTGTTTATCAATGATTCAGCAATAAGATATTGGACTTGATTCATTTTGCGAGTCTTAGCAGTAACACAAATTCCAAATGCTTCAAATTCATCAATATCTTTGCAATTATTAATTGCTTCTGTTATGGTTTTTGCAAAATGTAGACTGTCATCTTTCTTCCTTTTTTTTGATGGTACAGTGGTGACATATTGTTTTGATGAATCAAAAGTTTCCTTAATAAAAAAAAAAAAACAGTTAGGTATTCATTTAAAATAATTGGTTTAATTGGTACCCAGATCTATAACAAATAATTATGATTAATAACAATAAAATAGTACTAAAAACATTTTTTATTGTATAATTTTTAGTTTCCAAAAAATAAAAATGAATGGCAATCAATCAGTAAAGGGTTCAAAGATCAATGGCAGGTCATCAACTGTGGAGGTGCTCTTGATGGAAAGCATGTGCGGATAATACCACCGAAAGATTCAGGAGCCCATTTTTACAACTATAAGGGCTTTTACAGTATGGTGTTGATGGCATTGGTTAACTCTAATTACGAGTTTATCTATGTTGATATTGGGAAAAATGGTAGATGTTCTGATGGAGGAGTAATCGAACATACTACATTCTACAAAAAATTATTGGCTGGGACATTAGATTTGCCTAACAATTATGAAACTGAAGAAAACTTGAACTTCTCATTCTTGGCTGATGATGCATTTGCATTACATAACCATGTGTTGAAACCGTACCCAGGAAGTGGAGTTACGCATGAAGAACGGATATTCAATTATAGATTGGCTAGAGGCAGGAATGTAGTAGAAAATGCATTTGGACTTTTAACAAGCCGATTTAGAGTTCTACACACAGCTATAAATATGTCACCAGATAATATAAAAAAAGTTGTTCTAGCAATTTGTGCCCTGCACAATTTTTTGCGAAAAACAAGTAACTCTTATGCTTCAAATAAGACATTTGACAAAGAAGACACGAATACACATGAAATTATAAATAATGGCGATTGGAGAAATGAAGCAGCTGATATCACTGAAATTCAAAAACTTGTACAACGAAATGCCCATTCTGATGCAAAAATTAATCGGAATAATTATAAACAATTTTATAATGAAAAAGGGAAAGTAGATTGGCAAGAAGAAATGTTGCAAAAGGGAAAAGCATAGTGAAGGTGATTAAAAATACTTTTAAGAACTGTATAATATAATATAGGTATTAGAACCATCATTCAGTAGGCATAATATTATTTTATTGAATGACTATGTATACCTTTTACCAATAAATATTATACTGAAGAAGGTACACAATTTTAATTTATTTTTTTTTATTATTTATATGGTTGGTACCTACCTAATATGGAGTTGATTTTAATAATTATTTAATAATTTTTTTTTTTAATAGGTACATTACATACCTGTAGAGGCATCTCACTGTTTAGCTGTTTGTTGACTTCCTCTGGAAGAGTTGAATCATGTATATTTGTAGACATCATAGCATCATTATTTTCATCGTCACTTAGGTTGGAAATGCTCTCCTCAGGAGTCTCTTGTTCTTTTGTAAACAAAAGTTGATTATAATACCATAGTGATGGTACGTGCACACTGTCAGTGGATGAACCAGTTTTATTTCTTGTTTCATTCCATTTATTAAATTCTTTCCTAAATGAACCACGTAGACTTTGGACTCTTTGTACAACCCATGTCTTGTTTGCATCAGAATACACAGTTTGTGCAAAGTTGGCCAATTTTTCATAGGCCATATTTTTCAAATTTCTATTAGTATAAACCTTCTTGTCTTTAATCTTCCACAGACATGGTTGCTCTCTGTATATACTTATAAACTCGGTCAAAAATTCTTTCGACCAGTTGCGAATATCCGACATAACTATTATTATAGTTAGTATACAATTACAACAGTAAACAAGTCGCTAAAAACTACGCACTTCACAGTCTTCACTACTTCAGTTAAAACTAAAAATTTAAGATTCATATAACAAATATGCACATGAAATTTTACTTTTGTATTTGTATTTTGTGATTATTTCATTAAGCTATGAGCCTATGAAGTATGAACAAACTAAACAATAGATATAATGTTGATAATGGAAATGTAATTGGCGGGAAAAAAATAATAAGCAATTTACCAACTCTGTATGATGAGTGATGACTGGAATGCTCAAAAAGCAGTGTTGCCCGGGAGAGAAAGAGAAATTAAGAGAATGTGAGAACCCCCCGTGTGCACGCTTATGCACCACTGTACAGCAAAGCGAGTTTCCTTTTTTTTTTTTGATATATTCATAATACTTCATATTATATTTGGTTGCAAAATAAACAATTCTTATTACTATTATTATATATTTATATTATAACTACCGAGCTCATTTGGTTCAGTTACCTAGTGAGAAAATAAATTAGGTACCTACGACCTACCTACCTAAAAATGTATGTTAAAAAACTATTAATTTCTTAATTAGTTAATTACTCACCTTTCATTGATATATAGCCATATAGGTATATATATTATACTACCGGAAAAAAATATAATACTAAGTGGGATTTTAGGGGTTAACACCAACCCTACGATATATCAGGATACGAGGGTCAATTTACTTATTTAATTAATTAGCAAATGATTGTCTTTGATGATGGAATGTTTGTCTAAACGCTTCCATAAATGTAAATGATAGCCTGTCCTTTCTATATTAGTCATTTGGAAAAAACAAATGCCTGTGAAGCATTTAGACGCACAAGCCATCACATGCATTTATCATCTACTAAAAACTGTGTAATTTTCTAAATCATTTACTAAATCATTTTTTAGTATTTACACGCAAGGTTTAAAATACAAAAGATGGAACGGCGCGTTCCAAAACTGTCCTTAATCCTCTTGGTCTAAACGCAGCTAATGACTATACGGGTCACACCACACGCGCGTCACAATACGCGCCGTACGAAGCACGCGCGCATGAACGCTCGGTACTAATACCGTACGACGACTTGCGCACAGCAAGAGCTTCGTTACCCGAGTTCACAGGAACAAGGGCCGAGGACCCCGTACGGTACATTAATAATACCGAGTCGATTTTGGTGCAAGCTCGTATACACCCCTCGGGTTGGTGCAGGGCGGTCGAGCCGCAGTTAAAAGGAACGGCGAGTGTATGGTACGCGTCCATAAAAATACTCGACCTATCCTGGGAAGAATTTAGGGTTGAGTTTTTAGAAAATTACAACAATTCCGAAATCCAATCCCAACTGCGCGCCGACATCGTGTCAACACGACAAACGTCTAGACAATCGCTAACGGAATTTGTGCTAGTTAAAAACCAGCAAGCGCGCCGCGTAAATACCGGCCTATCCGAGTCGGAATTGGTAGGTATTATAGCAGGATTAACGCGCGACACTTTCCGAACACACATCCGTTTACAACGGCCATTGACGTTCAACGAGCTACGACGCATCGCAGGCGTTTTGGACCCGGTAACGGACAGCACCAAACCGACCCCCCAACAATGGGCCCCAAAACCCAAAAACCGGGCGGATACCCCACAAACAGCCGCCCCGGTCAAAAAAAAATTTTTTAAAAAAACAACAGATGATCACCCACCGGGGCCGTGCAGGTATTGTGGGGAACTCCACTGGAACAGTAAGTGCCCACACAAACCGACCACGTCGGGAAACGGCGGGGGAGTCGACGGGGACTAGTCCCCCCCATCGACTCAACACCACCCCCCCACCCATCACCAACCACTATCGGTAGTACACACGGAAAAAAAACACGTAATCGAAAAGCGCGTAGTTCGGTAATTCAACACACAGAAAAACCAACTACGAAAATTTTTTCCGTCTCATCACCAATCGGCACCCGTTCACAGACCCCCAACCTACACCACCCCACCACAGAACACACTCACCTCACCGGTGACACGTGTGTTCAACAACAACCGGCTCATGGGGCAGCCACAGGTGTAGGGACAAAGGCAACAGAGACACGGGTGTTCACCTGCACAGGTGACGGGGATACAAGCACACACACCACGCTTATCCCCGCATTAGGTCAGTCTGCGCACGTAAAGCAAGAGGCGAGCAACGAGGCAACCGACGTTGACAGTATGGTCATGGCGGTTGACACCGACGACCAGACAGTTCCCGTCGCGGTTAAGAACCAATTGTCCAGCTCGACCGATTGCACTACGACTAATAATGATACGCGAACACGCCCAGACAAAATTCCGACCCCCGCGGTCGAGCTCGAATTTCCGTCAGGCTTCGTAACAGCTCTATTAGATTCGCAGGCACAAAAATCGTACGTAAACCCGACAGTAGCCCGTAAATACGGCAAAACACCTCCCCACGGACCAACAAACACAGTCCGGATGGCGGACGGTCACACTGCAACAACCAGTGGCACCTCCACGTTCGAAGCTAGGATAGGTACACTCGATATAAAATTCGAAGCTACCATCCTAGACAATTTGTATTGCGACGCGTTACTAGGACACGACTTTCTTGTAACCAATGAAGTCTCTTGGGATTACGCCGCATGCACAATTCACATGGGTAGGCAAATTCGTACGTCGACATGCTGGAAAGGGAAACCACAACCACCCGCCACTCGTCCCGACTTGTCACAATTACAATTTGGAAACGACCCCGAAACTCGCGCGAAACTAACCAAGATTTTAAACAAATACGCGGTAGTATTCAGCGAAAAAGTAGGACGTACCAAACTAATTGAACACGAAATTTTGCTAAAAGACCCGTCCCCAATCGCGCTCAAACCATACCCATATCCACAGCAAAAACAAACCGCTATCGATGATATGGTGCGCGATATGGAACTCCAGGGGCTCGTAGAACCTAGCACCTCACCGTGGGCCGCACCGGTAGTATTGGCAAAGAAAAAAGACGGAACTTTCCGTCTCTGTGTCGACTACAGGCGGCTTAACGACGTAACGGAATCCGACGCGTACCCAATGCCAGATCTCAACAAAATGATTAGGCAAATGAGGGGCGCGAAAATTTTCAGCATTTTTGACCTTAGGTCGGGGTACTGGCAAGTTCCACTACACGAAAATGCGCGAAAATACACGGCTTTCCGGACACGTAGAGGTCTATTTCAGTTCAGAGTCCTCCCCTTCGGTCTAAAAAATAGTCCAATGACTTTCGTGAGACTCATGAACGAGGTCATGAGGGGGTACCAGGATGATTTCGTACAAGTTTACCTAGATGATATTGTAGTATTCTCAAGGGACGAGTACGAACACCAGGCCCACCTAGACAAAGTTCTCGAGCGCCTCAAGAGATTCGGATTAACGTGCAACACAAAAAAATGTAAAATCGGTCTTCGCGAAATTTCATTTTTAGGGCACATAGTAGACTCGGAGGGCATACAAAAACAACCGGAAAAATTGGTATGCATCGATAATTTTCCGGTTCCCAAAAAAGTTAGGGACGTACGTAAATTTTTGGGCGTGTGCAACTGGTACAACCAGTTCGTAGATAATTACGCGGATACCATAGCACCCCTCACTAATTTATTAAAACAGGGGGTTCGGTGGAAATGGACAGATGTAGAACAACGCGCGTTCGAATCAATAAAAAACGCGCTAGTCACATCGCCGAAATTGTCCCCACCCGATTACAGCAAAACGTTTTGTCTCCAAACCGATGCAAGCGAGATAGGAGCTGGCGCGGTACTCTTCCAACGGGGTGACAGACCGGAGGAAAGACGCATCATATCCTACGCAAGCAAAAAGTTTAGCGAGACACAGACGAGGTACGCCGCGGTAGAACGCGAGTGCCTAGCAGTAATTTGGGCAACGGACAAATTTCGGCCATACCTAGAAACCCGACGTTTCGAACTCCTAACAGACAACTCGGCACTGACATGGTTACACAGGGCTAAAGACAAAAATTCAAAATTAACACGTTGGTCACTACAACTAGCTAATTTAGATTTTAGTACGGTACACGTCCCGGGAATACAAAACGAAGCACCCGATTTGTTATCCCGCGACCCGGCACCGGGCACACCTGTAGACGAAGATCGACTCGAGGAAAAATTGGTAGGGGCACCTGTAACGCCGACAACCAATGTTGACCCCGAGTCGGATCGCATATTCTCCATGTTCGATAACCACGACAGTGACGACACACCACTCACCGCGTCGACGCTCGAAAAGTGGCAGTCCGAAGACGCCGCGATCCGCGACATAGTCGCCGGTCATAAGTGGGACGGACCAACGCGAAACACTAGGAGCACAAAATCGGGAACAAACACATATGTTTTCTCCGACGGTCTCTTACGCGTAAACGTAGGCCCCCACACACCCATCGTGATACCGAAAACAAAAATACAACACGTAATTTGGAGGTGTCACGATCACGTCTTATCCAACCACCCGGGTTGGAAAGAGACGTACCGGGCGGTTCGACAACGGTACTATTGGAAAGGTCAAAAAAATGACGTTAGGGCATATGTAGGTGCGTGCCACGTATGTGCGTGCACGAAACCACTAAACTCACGTCCCACCGACCCAATGCAACCAAGAACCCCCCGGCAACCATGGGAAGTCATCAGTGTCGATTTAATGGGCCCATACCCACGTTCCGGTAAGGGAAAATCGTACATACTGGTAGCAACCGACTGTTTTAGTAGGTGGACCGAGGCTTACCCCTTAGGAACAGCAACCTCAAAAACAATAATCGAAACGTTAGAGCGAGAGTTCTTTTCGCGTTTCGGTTACCCCCGCGTGTGTCTCAGTGATAACGGCCCACAGTTTGTGTCAAACGAAATGATAAACGCACTAGAACGCTGGGGGGCACAGGGTTGGACGACTCCAGTCTACCACCCGAGGGCCAACCCAGTCGAACGCCGTAATCA